GGGGAGATGGAAGGGTGAATGTGGCTGGGTGAGTCACGGCGCAGAGGGCTGCGCTATAGACTTACCCCAAGAGGCCTGAGGATAGGAGTGCCAAGATTTTTTTTCTTTTTAAATCAATTTGAAATTGTTTTCATGATTGATGTCTAGCTTAGCACAACTGTAATCAGATACTACTGTGATTTGGGTCCTTTCATTAATGCCCCCTGCCCCCCAGTGCTGGAGATAAAAACCTGGGCCTCCAGCGTGCTAAGCCCTTGCTCTACCCCAGTCTCTTCCCAGCCCCATGGGTCTCTCCCTCCCTCAGCAGCCTGATCAGCAGACTCGTCTTCTCCCCCTTCTTCCACTTTTAGATTCTTCAGGAGAGAGGATCTCGGATGTAAACAGAGAGTCTGCAGTTCAAAATCCTGAAGGTGGAGAGAGCAGTCCAGAGAGCAGCTCTGTGCAGGGAGCCTTGACCTGTACAGCACCCGAGCTACTGCAAAGCAAAGCCGTGCCTGGCCCTGGAGACAAAGTGTTCTGGTCAAAACCAAAGGAACCCCACCTACCCTTGGGACTCGGAGGACAGTGCACCTCTGGCTGCACATCCCCTTTTCAGAAACCTGCTTTTGTTTTCTTAGCCAGTGTTAGGACAGACCTTCACTACTGCAGCCGAGCTGGGTCCCTGGCTGAAACCTTGTGGGGAGCTGGGAAAGAGGTACAAGAGCTAGCTCCTTGAGAACAGTCTAGATGCCAAGGAAGCTAGAGCAGAGGAAGGAGGATTGTCCCAGGCTGTGCCCTGTCTCAGCCTGCTTACTAGCCTGGCCATGTTAGACCATTCTTCCCTGTCCTGGGCACCCTTTGAGGATGGCAGGGGATGTAGAGGGTGCTGGCTTTAGTATGTTGAAGTTTTGGGTCAAGAATAGAGTTACCAGAGGACCCACATTCCTATGATCTGAGCCGCAGAGGCGGGAGGATGAGGTGTCCTGTGATATGACTTGAGGGTGGTGGTTACTGCCCCTGGTTCCAAGTGTTCCCCTGCTCCCATGAGTGGCTTTGCCTGGCGTCTCTCCTGTAGCTGAGCCCCACATGACTCACCTCCCAGGAGGTTTAAGGCTGTGGCACCCTGAGCCATGTGGACAGACAGGAGTGCTAGGCAGTTGGCTTAACTGCTTCTGGAGCCCTTTCCTGGTTGACCCTGTCTTCCTCCCCAGCTTCATGAACTGGACCAAAGAGAAAGGACTTTGTGAACCTTCTCTAGTAGCTTGGGGTGAGGAAGTTTGTTTCTGTAGAAGTTGCCAAATGTATCATGTTGTCATAGCTAAAAGTGCAGTGTTTTGTGATTGTCTCTTGAACATGCACTGACCAATGGGTGATGCTTGTGTCTCTCCTTGATTTCTAACCATGGCAGACTAGCCTTACAGCACATTGCCTGTGTGTGTTCGTGGTGGCAGTCTAAGGACCCCCAGTGTCTCTGACCCCTCCCCCCATGACTACTTCCTGTGGCAGGCCTCCATAGCAGGAGAGGATCCAATGCTTGTGCAGTGAAGTACTGCAAAGCTTCCTTTGGCCTGTAAGCACAGAGCTGGTGTCTGTGTGTCCTCTCTGAACTTCGGAATCTCTGAGTAAGCATGGAAGGCAGAGGAACCAGAGTCGCCTTCATTTTCCCTAGATGACTTTAAACCGTGGCATGTGGTATGGAGCAGGGAAGGCTGCCTCGGGAATGGCCATCAGTAAAAGCCACCCCAGGCCCAGCACCCATGGGTGCCTTCAGCACCAAGATTCTCTACATTCTACAGCACAGCTGCTCTCCAGGGTTCGTAGGTCGTGATTTCCTGAAAGACTGCTCTGTGCCAGATGTTTGGATTAGTGGCTGACATGCCCAGCTGGCTTTGCTGCTCACTGTGTAGAGTAGCGTAGGAATGCACCTGTCCAGTCCACCAGTGGAGCTGTGTTCTGGCAACTCTGGAGTCTGGCTGGCAGTGCCACTGTTTTTACAGTGCTTAACATATTATCTGACCTCTTCAGGAAAAGTAGATACTGCTTCCCAAACGTTCCAGGCATCCATCCATCCTGTCATCTTTCAGGAAAAAGAAGAGATTGGAGTGTATTTGAGGAAAATGAACTGGTATGAAGAGCTGCTCTGTCCAGAGAGCGAGAACTTGGAAAAGGGTCCTTGGACCAAGTCAAGCAAGTGATGTCAGGTTGGGAGAAGCACTTCTTCTCATGGCCCCTGGCTCACTCACCTTGAAGGCCCCTTGTCCCTCTGCTTTCTTGGGGCACACCAGATGGTCTGTACCCACCAGGACTCTGGACAGGCCCAGTGCCTCTGACCCCCAAGTTTTGCGGAGTGAGGAGGATGGAGAGGAGACTTTGGATAAGTACCTGAAAAATGTTATCTTCATTGAACTTGTCAGAATTCTGTATCTGGTCCTGTACAAAGTATACCGGGGGGCCTCAAGTCGTATTAGTGACCTCAGGACTCACACTAAGGGCCCATCTGCTGCCTAGAGGGCAAGTGTTGAAGGTTCCCTGGCTAGAGCCCAGTATCATTTCACCTGCTTCAAGTGTCTGAGGGGACTCATTGCTTCAGGTGCAGGGGAGTCCCTTTGAATTATGCTGCTCTTGAGAACCTTGCTGGAGAATCTGGCTGATCGCTGCAGGTGGAGAGCTGACTATGTTTGTGACCCACACTCCCAGGACTGCCACATGGGAGTGTCTGCCTTTTTCTTTATCCTAGGTTTGACTGAGGTGATGCTGACCAGGCCTAGGAGCACCACTGTCCTCTGAGCCCTTCAGCAGCTTCTGTTTGCTCTTTACGTCTTTTCCTTGCTGTGATGGGCCCAGCCTCCTCGAATGTGACTTTGTCCCCACACAGTCTCTTCCCGGGTGTCAGGGAGGTGTGGGGAGGGAGCAATAGAGATGCTGAGGGAGTAGGGGCCGCAGGGGCACCCATACTCTCCAGCATGGCCTTTGATCCACGCCTTTAGGACTATGCCAGTCACTCTTGGGTGCCCTTTGTTACTGTTCATGTGTCTGAACAAAAGTCTGGAATGTGACTTTTTTTGTCAATAAAGATAAGAAATGACATCAGGGTCTCAGACCACTTGTACATTGCCAGCTCATGGCCCCACAGTCACTCTGTTCCTCAGGCTGGTCTCAGCAGACTGGCTTCTTGTTCCTCCTAGGGACACCTCAGAGCCCCCATCCGTCCTGCTGCTAAAGCTGCCAGAGGTGTGTTCGGCCTTCCTCCTCCTCAGCAAAATGAGAGGCCCCAAGAGCACTGAGAACAAGGTGAGGCTGCCTGCCAAAGAGCTGAGGGACAAGGGAGGAGTCTTCTGAAGAGGAATGACTAGGTGTTGGTTTTTCTGCCAGGCAGAGACTAGAAGTAGACGCTGAGAATCAAGCGACCAACAGGCTGGTGGTGATCCCCAGCATCTGGCAAGGGGAGGTCTCCAAAGGGCTTAACAACCGGCTACCTTGGGCCTGCACTCGGGGTGGTGAGAAGATCCCTACAGATCAGCAAGCAGGGCAGGCAGGTGTCTCAGGGACACTCAGGAGCAGCTGATGATAAGTGGATGAAGGCGGGACAGCAGGGTCAGCTACCCCTCCCTGGATGGGAACAGAAAAAGGCTGGATTGGTAAGATGTAGACTGGCAGAAGGTACTATGGAGATGCTGGCCGCTCAGCAGTACTGTCCAGTGCACAGTGGGACTGCAAATACCACATTTAACCTGTGCTGTTGATGCCAGAGCACAGACGGTGCTGCTGTTGACCACTGATGAGGAGTAAACAGGAAGAAGAGCAGGCCGTTTTTTCCAGCCTTGTCTCCCTGTCAAAGCTGTAGGGAGCCGCCTGGTGAAGAAGCAAAGGGGTTTGCATCATCCCAGAACCAGCGGCTCAGAGCACAGTATGGAGGTGGGCTTGGGGCTGAGAGAGCACAATGTTGTAATTAGTTCTGCCCTCCTAGTAGGCTCATAGAGACTTGTATCAGCATACTTGAACTTCTTACAATGGTAAGGAACAATTTCATGTTTCTTAGAATAATATACAATATGCTTTATACAAAAATGATCTGACCACCTCTCCAGGGTGCCAGGCCATTGCGTCCCTGTCTGAGAGCTGGTCACTAGTCTGACCAAGTAGACTACACCTCAGTTGGCTTGAGTGAAACAACACCTAGTTAGTAATGGCAGCCTAGGCCACGTAGTCACTTGATGCTTTGTGGTTAAGTGTTCTGTGTCGCTAAGGCCTGGTAGCAAAGCAGGAGCTATTTGTCAAAGGGGAAGTGGTTGTCTGCAAAGCAAAGAAGGAAAGCCTGCACCTGCCCCCTCCGTGGAGCTCTGCATGCGGAGTGCCGGCTCAGGGCTATCAGAGCATGGCACAGGATCAGAGTTTGCAACAGATAATTCAGAGATCTGAGTCTGCTCAAGTGGCAGATACATAGATGAATCTTTAATAAGATCATAGCACATGGAAAGGTTTTTCCACAGTAAAGCTCTCCCTGGAGTCAACTGTTACCCTCCTAACCTAGCTAACCCAGGTCAGTTCCTTGGCCAGTTTTCTGCACTGTGTAATTAAGTTGCTGCTTTCTCTTCGTTTTTCTGCAGTGCCAGAGATTGAACTGAGGGTCTCAAACGAGCTAGGCAAGTGTTCTACCACTAAGCTCCCAGCCCTCAAGATTTTAAGATTTCTGTGTATTTACGAGTACATGTATGTGTTTCTCGTTATATCTATGAGTATGTACATACGGGTGCCCATGGAGACCAGAAGAGGGCATCACATCCCCCCGGAGCTGGAATTACAGGCAGTTGTGAGCCACCAGGCATGAATTCAGGAAACCAAACTCTGATCCTCTGTAAGAGCAGAGAATGCTCTCAACCTCTGAACCGTCTCACTAGCTCCCCATTTTGATTTTTAGTTTGAGGCAGGATTTCAAATGTTGGCGGGGCTAGAAACTGATCCTCCTGTCTCATCTTCCCAACTGCTGAGATTAACAGGTATGTCCACTGCACCCAACTCCCTGAATCAAATTTTGTACATCAAGAGCCAGGTGTGGTGGTGGCACACCTTTAATCCCAGCACTCAGGAGGTAGAGGCAGGTGGATCTCTGAGTTCAAGGCCAGCCTGGTCTACTTAGTGAGTTCCAGCCCAGGTGGGGTTACAGGGAGATCCTGTCTCAAAAAGACCGAAAAAAAATTTTTTTACATCAAAATCTCAAATATCTGAAGTATTTTAAATGATTTTAGTTTTTTCTTAATTAGGGCTAACAAAAATTAGGAGACGGAGAGAAGAAGAATTTGTATATATCCTCAGATTTTCATGTAAGGATCTACTTAGTGAGTTCCAGCCCAGGTGGGGTTACAGGGAGATCCTGTCTCAAAAAGACCGAAAAAAAATTTTTTTACATCAAAATCTCAAATATCTGAAGTATTTTAAATGATTTTAGTTTTTTCTTAATTAGGGCTAACAAAAATTAGGAGACGGAGAGAAGAAGAATTTGTATATATCCTCAGATTTTCATGTAAGGAAATTATGAGCAAATTCCCTTGCCTATCAGATTTTTTTTTTTTTTTGGTCTAAGGCTGAGCTATGAGTTATTGACCACTGACAAATCAAAGAGTGAAATAGTCAAAAAATATGTCTGCTTTGCCCAATCAAGATGAATGGATAAGAAGCATAGATTTGCTGGCAAGATGCTCAGTGGTTAAGAGCACTGGCTGCTCTTGCAGAGGACCCAGGTTTGATTCCCAGTACCCATATGGCAGCTAGTAACCATCTGTAACTCCAGCTCCAGGGGAATCTGAGGCCCTTTTCTGACCTCCACAAGCATTGCACAACATGGGTGCACTTACATATATATGCAGGCAGTACACTCATAAAATAAAAATGATACATTTTTTTAAAAAAAGAAGCACATATTTGAAAAGGGATTTGGAAGACCCTGAAAGTCACAAAGGCCTCCTGGGCAGCAGTGCTCAGGCTGACACCTGGATTCCAGCATGCAGCACTCATTCCCCAGCTTGCTGCCAGATGTTGCACACGCCCAGACAGTCAAGGCACTGAAGTCCCTAGGTTGAGTCCCCAAGGCCTGTGGGAAACCAGAGAGAATGAGGATGTGCAGGCAGGGAGTGGCTAGGAGGAGGACGAGGATGTGGAGGACGAGGATGTGGAGGAGGCAGGGGGACCAGGAGGCTGCTGTACCAGCCAGCAAAGAACCTAGAACCTGGGCAGAGCTAGAGATGGTGGAGCAGCAGTGAGGAACTGGGGTCCAAGCTGAGAAGGCAGCTTCTGTAGGATTTAAAGAGCAAGGTTTGGGTGTGAGAGGAGCCAGGGATGATGAGCAGGTGAGGACTGGGTCGAGTGGACCAGTAAGAAATCACGTGTTCGTTCTAGACAGGCTGAGTTGGAGGAGCCAGGTGAAGGTCTCCATAAGGTGAGCTCCCTAATCATGATAACCTTCGCTACAGCCAGTGCCTGCCTCTTCAGGCATTTCCATCAACGGTCTCCATTAACCCCATGACTGTGCCTGATAGGGGAAGGCAGCAGCCACCAAACCTGACACACATGTCTCAGAGGCCAAAGGAGGGTGTTGGGCACCTTCCTCTATCACTCTCCTTTTCTTAAAAGATTTTATTTTTATGTGTATGAGTGTATGGCCTGCATGTATGTAAGTGCCATGTTGTGCAGTGCCTGCAGAGGTCAGAAGAGGGCATCAGAACTGGAGTTATGGATGGTTGTTAGCCGCCATGTGAGTGCTGGGAATCTAACTCAGGGCCTCTGCAAGAGCAGCCAGTGCTCTTAACCGCTGAGCATCTCTCCAGACCCTCCTCCTTATTCTTTGAGGCAAGGTTCCTCTCTAAGCCTGGAGCTTGTGTTTTTTTTGTTTTTTTTTTTTTTTTTTTTTTTTTTTTTTTGACGAGGCTGGCAGCCAGCAAGGCTCTACTATCCTTCCACCTCTATTCTTCGTATCATTGGGCTGTAGGCATCCATGAGGCTATGCCTGGCTTGTTACATGGGTGCTGGGACCTGAACTCAGGTCCTCATACTTGCATAGCAAGCACTAGCCATCTCTCCAGGCCCTCGGCCTCACCTCTTAAAGGGCCTACCTCTCACATTGCCACACGTGGAGCAAACTCCCAACACATGAACCCTTGGGGGAATACTCACACTATCCAAGCCATAGCGACTGTGTTGGGAAAACTGAGACTCAAAGGCAAAGGGAACTTGCCCCGAGACAGACCGTGCTTCAGCTACCCCAGTATTCCTGAGCCTAGGGGTTAAAAGTCACATTTAGTAATGCAAAACTCGCGACAACCTCAGAATTGTATTCAAAAAGTTTCCAAGGGCTAGGGATATAGCTCAGTGGTAGAGTGCTTGCCTAGCATGCACAAGGCTATGGGTTTAATCTCCAACATCATAAAAAGAAATTTTCCATTTATACAGAAATGTGGAACAGGAGCTAGAGCGATGACTCAGCAGTTAAGACTGCTTCTTGCTCCTGCCCATCTCCTGAGAATAAATACTTTCCTCCACACAAATGCAGTTACCAATATCACATCTAAGAAAACATAAAAATTCCGCAATTATCAAGGGCTGGGGATGTAGCTCAGTTGGTAGAATGCTTGCCTTGCATGCACGAAGCCCTGGGTTTTTTTTCCCAGCACCCTATAAATGGTGTGGTGGCACACACCTGTAAATCCAGCACTTGAGAGATGGAGGCAGGAGGGTCAACAGTTCAAGGCCTCCTCACCTACAGAGTGAATTAGAGGACAGCCTGGTCTACTTTTTTTTTGGTCCTTTTGAGACAGGGTCTCCTTGTAGCCCCAGCTGTCCTGGAACTCACTATGTAGACCAGGCTGGCCTTGAACTCACAGAGATCTGCCTGCTGGAATTAAAGGTATGTGCCACCATGCCCAGATAAAGTTTACATTTTTAAAACGCCCAAATCCAATCAAGGGTCACACACCAAATTTCAATTTTGTATTTCTTTTTCTTAAAATGTTATTGCATGTGTATATGTGTGTGCAGGCATGTGTGCTCAGAGGATAGCCTTTAGGAGTTGGTTCTCAACTACCAGGGATCAAA